CTACTATTATAGATTACCATCAACTGGGATCTGCTCTTACTGAGAAGTTTTTTCATGCCAAAAGAAATTACCTACAAAGTGAAAATGTAAACCACAAGTTTGAGTTATTATTTTCTTGATCCTTGCTTTTTTTTGAGAAATTTTTCCTTTCCTGGTCTTTAGCTGCAACCACTGTTTTCAAGGTCTGAAAGTCTTCACTTTCCTTCAAATAGTTAAGCAATTTTTTTTGTGGAACTGGGGATTGAACCCAGGTCCTTGCACTTACCAGGGAAGCGCTTATTCCACTGAGCCATCTCCCCGGCCCCAGTTAAGCAACTCTTAATGGAGTTTTAAATTTCTTGTATATCTTTTTGAATCTGATGCATTCTTTCTATTTCTTTCCAATATTGGTTATTCAATATTTCCATTATTTTTCTATTCTCCTCTCTATACTTTTCTTGTCAGTGTCTTCTTTGGAAACATTTAGTAATTCCTCTATTATAGTTACAATTTTTTTAACCTTCTTGATTATATCTGATCTGATTTCCTCCTTAAAATTCTGCAGTTGTTTCTATAATTTAGTTGCTATTGCTTCAGAAATTTCATGTGTATGACTTCCAATATCTTCTATGACGATGTCTCCAGGATTTGTTTTAGGTGAGCTTGGGGCCTGAGATTGCATTTTACTCCTTGGTGTTTTCAGTTTCTATTTCAGAGAGAACTCTTTATTTTGATTCCTCTGATAGATTTTTGTGAAAGTTTAATAGATGGTAGCTATATCACTGAATTGAGAACCTCTCTGTGAAGTGTAAGTTTATTAGGTATTTCTTCTGTGTGAAGTGTATTTTCCAACTTTTTGCCTTCTGTATTGAGTGAGAGTGAGAGATTGCTTTCCATTTGGCACTACAGTCTGTCCTTCAGTATAGGGTCCCATTGAGGTTATTGACCAAGAACCTTCTGATATTATCTTTCAAAGGAGAATGCGTGATTAAGGCAGACATGTTGTCCTTGTTACAGCAGTACAATGAGCAATACTAATAGTAACTGATATTTAGAAAATTGATTAATTTTGGTAAGCAATACTTCTGCATTTTATTTAATTTTATTTCATTTTAGTACTTTATTTTTTTATATTTTGGGTTTATATATGTGTGCCACTATTCCTAATCTCAGTGGCTGGCTCATTGTGCTCACAGGCAGGACCATCATGACATTTGGTGCTGGGGATTGAAACCCTGTCCTTTCTCTTGCTCAAGCAGATGCTTGGTCTGCTGATATATCTTGCCAGCATTTTTGTGCTTTTAAAGATAGGGACTAACACTATATCTATATAGAGCTGATCTTAGTTTGGAAATTAGTATGCAAACTGGTTCTTCTGAGTTTCATCTGGGCATCCGTCCTTCATGTACCTGGAGTCTTCCAGACAGACTAGATTATCTGAGGTACCTCCTACCACCTCCATGCCATGAAAATCTTCCTGGTAGTTCTTGGCCTCAGTCTGGACCTCTCTATGCCTAGCAGTATTCCTCACCTCACTCAGCCCAACTGCAGGCCTCACCTCCTCCTCCTGGGTCCACTGTCAAGCTCAGATCCTTTGTTCTGGCCACCTCTAATGTTCCACATTGCTGCATTCATTTCGCTAGTTCTGTCTGCTTCTACTGCTCTGTACTCCTGCACTCTGCCCAAAGGGCCTGACTGCCTCTACTTTTCTGTCACACCACATTCAGCCTGATGTTTTGAATTACCTCTCGACATTTTCTACATGTACATCAAGTTTCTCCATTCATTTTATTTTTACTTACTCTCTCCTGCCCCTCCCTCTTGATCTCCTGGAGCCCTTCCTATTGCAAAAGAAATAGTTCCCTGTTTGCTTCTATCAATCCTTTATTGTGCTTTTCATTTGTTCTATACCTTACTCAAATGAGAGACACTCTGCAGTACTTAAGTTTCTGTGTCTGATTTCTTCCACCTAACATTATATTTTCAGGTGCATCCATTTTCGTGTTAATCTCAAATGTTTATCATTATTAATAGCTACATTACATTCCTTTGTAAATAACTAACACATTTTCGTTATCTGTTGATGGACCTACAGGCTGCCTCCGTGATCTAGCTATTATGACTTGTGGTGCTACATACATTAGTTTTCATGTATCAGTGCAATACGATGTCTTGAGCTCTTTTGGAATGTTATCTAGCAGGGGAATAGTTAAGTCAAAGAGAATTTCTAATTTTACCTCTTTCAGAAATCTCTGTGCTTATTTCCATAATGTTTGGAGTAGTTTATATTCCCACCAACAAACTAGGATCATTTCTTTTTCACCATAACGCTTTTTCTCTTGTTTCATATTTTATCAAAAAAATTAAACTGAGTAAGTGAATTTAAATTCATACTAGGATAGAAGCTTTATTTTAAAAAGAGAAAAACAATAAAAACAATGATACAGTATTTTGAAACAATATATTAGAAAATTAACAGTGCCTAATATATGGCATATTGCTGTCTTCAAATAAGTTATTCATATTACAAGAGAAAGGAATGCAAAGTGATCAAATAATGAATGTATAAATCATTCTTTTCGTTGAACTAGGTGAAATCACTTATATGCTTAACTTAGATGATAGATAGATAGATAGATAGATAGATAGATAGATAGAGCTAGAAAAAAGAGTAGAGGGAATTTTTTCCCATTCCTTCTTTCCTCCTTCCCCCATTCCAGTTGTTCTATCCATTTGTAGTATGTGACTTCTCCATGGTTTCCAATCTTTTGAGTGCATTATGAAATCTTAGCATTATTTTAATTTGCCCTCCTCTACTTAAAGATATTGAACATGCATTTGTGTGTTTCTGATGATTTGTACTAATTCCAAGAAGTGGCTATTTGTTTCAATTGCCTATATCTTGATTGGTCTTTTATTTGGGTAGTTCTCTCTTCTTAGTTCTTTATGTGCTCACATATTAGTCCTATTTCTGAGGAATACATGGAAAAATACTTCCTTCAGTAGGTTGCCACTACACTCTACTGCATGTTTACCTTTTTGTGCAGAAGTTTTCAATTTGATTGACTACAATTTTTATTCTTGCTGTTACTTCTATTGCAGCTGGAGTTGTGTTTAGAAAGTCCTTGTTGATTCGTGTGTCTTCAAGAATTTTACCTATTTAACCTTCCAGTACATTCAGTGCTTCTAATTTAAAATAGAGATCTATGATTCATTCTGTTGTTACATCCTTGGTGAGATGACATAATTGAGTCTACGTGAAATTGTCTGCCTGTGAATAGCTTATTATCTCAAAACTCTTTATTACCTATTTATTAATTTATTATTCATTCCTCTAGTATATGTTTTGGCCACTTTGTCTATGAAAAACAGAAGACCATGTCTAGGCATATTTCTGCATATTTTATTCTGTTTGATTGATTCATATGGTTGCTTATTTTTGAACAAAGCTTAAACATTTTTAAGTCATAATGTCCCTCTGAAGGGAAATTTCTGATTATTTCAATAGATCAAAAGAGGGATAAATCACTTGTACAGGATCAAAAAATTACCTGCAGGCAGGAATGTGATTAGAACACAGGCCTTCTGAGTCCTAGACCAATCCTTCTCCAATATACATATATTATTGACCCACTAGTGAATGCCTCCGCTTTGCATATCCCCTGTAATTCAAAGAGGTAATAGCTCATGTCAGACATTCTCACCATCAAGCAAGGCTTATTCTTCTCAGGTGCATGTGGGTAAATGAATTAAGTTCCATCAGTGTTAAGACATCTTTTCAAAGAACACTACAATTTAGACTTTGGGGCTCTCACGTTGCCTGCTAATTTTATAAGATGAAAACTTTATTTAAATATGTTGAATGATTTCTCCTAGGTTCTCTTCACAATCTGGTGAATATTGTATTTTTATTTTAGAATATCATGCCTGTAGCATGCTTGAAGCTAATTACTTGGATGCCTTCTACTTTTTCTTTGGTTGGTCATCAGTTTTATGGTCAGGGTCCTATGTTATTCACTATGAATTTTGGGGTTGTGTTTCTTAGTTCTGTGAAGAACATTGCTGGGGCTTTGATTCAAATTCTACTAAATCTATGCATCAGTTATAGAAGTGTAGTTGTTTTATCTGTATTTGTTCTGCTATCCAGAAACAGATGAAGTTTAAATTTCATAGGTTTTTAATCCTCATAAAATGTCATCTTGTAGGTTTATGTTTTGTTTTCAAAGGCACAATACAGAATTAGATTGATAGTCTTTTTTTTTTGTATATAGGGTCTCAATATAAAGTTTGGACTCATAGTGATCCTGTTGCAGCTTCCCCAGGGTGGGGACTATAGGTGTGTACTATGATGACCAGTTTCAGAGCCATTAGGACACGTCTGGTGTTCTGGGACCTTGCACTTGACAGGCAGGCATTTAGACCCTTGAGCTGTGTCCTCAGCCCTGATAGTCCTTTGCTTTGAACGTTCAATGTATATTTGTTCCATCTCATCTGTGTTGATGTAGACATGGTTCACTTGAATTTGGGTTGATATTTGCAATTTCATAGGACGATGTTCAGAGTTATAGAAACCCCATCACTGATTATCTCCTCTGGAATGCTCTTCTAGATCACATAACCTCAAGGCTAATTTTGTTCTTTTTGCATATCATAAAGATAAGATTTGTTGTTACTTTGGTATAGTCTATGGGTTATGTGTGTGTGTGTGTGTGTGTGTGTGTGTGAGAGAGAGAGAGAGAGAGAGAGAGAGAGAGAGAGAGAGAGACTCATGAACATGTCCTCAATTCCCCTTTAGTCTATTCTCAAAAAAGTGATATAGGTCAAGTTTCTGAGCATTGGAAACCTGATGCAATTCAAGTTCTTAAAATTAAAGTTAAATTATAAAACTCCATCTCCTCAAAAAATATTTTTAACAAAACAGACATAGTTACATATATTTCAAGGTCCAACATCAAGTGAACACAGTTTGTCATTTCAGAGAAATTATCCAATATGGAATAAAAAATTCATCTATTCTCCTTCTATTCCATGAACCTGATGCACTTAGTCACTTGTCTTTCACAAATGATAAGTACAAAAGGGCTCATTGTGGCATAGCAACTGCCAACAAGCATCTGGATCCCATTATTAATTGCAAAATGGCTCCACAGCACGGAAGAAGTAGAATGGAAAACACAGTCTAAACAATACATAACAATGAAGAAAGACATGAGTAACAAAATGGTCCAGGTGGCCCTTTGTTCTGGGGATGGTTTTGAAGATACGCGGTTCCTGTGAAGATGTTTGGATTGTCTTTTGTGTCTGCACAACAGAATCACCATGTACACGCTGGAGAGCGCCATGAGTGTTATACAGGCCAGATACTTGAAAATCATTAGTGACAGAAATAAATACTTGAGGAAGGGGCTAACAGGCAAAAGGGAGCAGGATTTTGTAAGAAACATGACACTGAGTGAGGTAACATTAGAAGTGGCAACAGCTGAGATTAAGAAACGACCATTGATGAGCATATTGAAGACCCATAAAAAGAGAAAGCAACACAGGTTCTGATGCAAGGATTTTTGCTTGAACTTTGCCAAACAGGAGCCTCTCGGGCTAACGGTGATGGCCTGGAGGATACTCAGCAGGCAGGTGGTAGCGATGGAGAGGTCCGTCATCAACCTATTCAAATAGATAACAGATGCACAGGTAGTGTCAAAACCTAAAATCTGATACACAAAATTGTCAGTAACCAGGACACTCTCAGATAGGAGCATCACTATGTGGATCAGAGCTAAGTGACCAATGGTCAGATCAATAGGTCTGGGCCTGTGCCCCAGGAGGAATGTGAGGGCATGGAAGGAAAGGAGAGCTGTGTTGGCAATGATCCCAATGCTGACTTCAAAGAAAAGCATGCTTTTCATGTCAGTGGCACCACAGAATATACTGTTTTTACTCATCTTCATGGGAGAAGAATAAAGAATATATCAGAAGGAAATAAATATAGTTGGGAATATTCTTATAATAAATTTTTTTCAAAGTTTTATTGATAAACATATAGCAATGAGACAGTTTCAAATCAAATCGAAAGTACAGTTTCAACAAATAATTATAATAAATATTTCATCTTTCCGCAAGAACTATACCCTCATCAAACCTCACAGATTCAGCCATGTGCATCATTTTTCAGCTTGTACAGAAGTCTACTTCACATCCTTCAAAATTCTCCTGGCTTCTCTCTTTGTCCACCACGTCCCAACCATGGCCAGATTCTGTTCTTCCTGGCTCCCATACTACCTGTGTAATGCAACAGTCATATTATGGCAAGTGTTTTCATATTTTGTCTCACTTTTAGTTGTCTTAGTCTGAGGCATATTTTGCCCCCATGCCTCCGTTCACTCATTCAATATTTTAGTTTCCTCACATGATGTGTGAATAAAGATACAACATTATTGTAATGTAACTGTCTAGCTACCTCTGTACTTTATGTATTAATCACTCTCACAAAATACAGAATATTAAATCATCTTTTATTTTATATAAAAATGTCATACATTTTTGATATAGAATTATTTCATAAAAATGTCCCTACTATAAATTATAAGATATATATTATTGATGTTTGAAGAAATGACATTGATAGATATGTAAAGCAGTTCAAGATGTTTTAAAATAATGAGCTGAAGTAAGTAAAATATGAACTTTTTTATTTTTAAGGTAATTTCAAGGAAATTAACATCTAGTTTAATTGTTTTTAAAGCACTTGTTTCAATCCTTAAATAGCTTCCTAAAAATGTTCAAGGAAAACACTAAGTTGTTGTATTAATTACAGCATCATTTATGTGGGTGGTCATACAAAGACAAATAATTAAGTCATGGCAGAAGCGTGCAGTTATCTTAAGCCTACATAATACTAAAGTTGTTCTCCATTTCTAAGAGCACTAGCTTAGCAGACAGAATTAAAAGTAGTCATGATCATTCATTCCTCGTAACACCCATTAAACACACTAAGACATGACAAATATACGATCAAATGTCCAACTTTCTCCAATACCAATATGCATCAATAAAACTTATATCTCAAGTATTCTCCTGCAGCATCGTAGTAATGTAAAGAAAGTATATACCTACTTCTGTAGCAAGATATTAGTTTACAAGGAAATATGTCCTGGATCATAGGAACACCTCATGAAAGCAAAGAAAAGTAATCTGTCCCCCACACTCATTCTTCACCCTGCTCATGTGTGCATGTCACCTCATAGCTGAGCAGCTGAGGTGAAGGGATAATCTCATGCTCTGCAGTATTATCTAGTACACCCTCTTAGTAAGACAGCTCTATTAAGGTAATCACAAGGTCTAATGCAGCAGGCACAGAAATTTCATCACACAAGGAAGAAGAAATAAGATTGTGTCAGAGATTGGAATTTAGAAAATACATGAATAAATCACAAGTAAATAATACAGAAGAAAGGCCATAAAGAATTCTCATGAAGAAATATTAAGGGAAACCCATGCATTGTTTTAAACAAGCTCTGTTCAGGAAATTTCATATCTCACAGCAATGCTTGCCATGTTCTGAGGACAAAGGCAATACAGTGCATATTCTCATTAATACCATGATCCACGACTCATTCAGAGATAGGTGATACTTATTCACTTTCTAAGACCATGAAAAATCTCAAGGTGGATCTTTTCATGAAATAGGAAAAACATATGAAGAAAGCTCAAGTCCATATACTTGAGACACAGCAGCAAAGACCCAGTGTCTTTTGGAGATGGTGAGGCCTTTGCCACTTCAGCTGATGTTGTCGAATGCTTCACAGTGTGATGAAAGAAAGGCAGTGAGGCTGGCACGATAACTCAGTGGTCTAAAGCACTTGCTTTGGCAAGCTTAGGCAAGTGAAGGGACAGTGGTTTGATCCCTGGCATGGTAGGGCTGAGCAGGCCACAGGGAAAAAAAAAGGCAATGAGGAAACCTCTCCTTCTTGAGCTGTCAAATGAACATAATCTGCATATTGCTCAAGGAACAGATGGCTTCTCACCAACATATAATCAGGGGCATAGATATGTAAAAGTTTACCCATCAGTGTTTTGCTACTGAATCCAAGATGTCAACTTCTTATGGCGGGATTAAACAGTATTCTTATGAATAAATGAAAGTCAAAAAGTAAAACTGTTTGGGGAGTGAGATTGAATGGACATATGGAAGTCATATATATATATATATATATATATATATATATATATATATATATTGTGCTTTGGTCTACAAAGTCAAATAGTTGACACAATTGAAATATGAAAACTAAGAAAGGAATAAAGAAGTATCAACTGACACTTAAGGTGAAGGCACTGAAACCACAAGGGGATTGCCAGTCTTCAGGACACATTACTTGTGAAATGTGCCACTTCCAGATAAAGAAAGAAGGAAATTTCTGGACAATTTTTGTCCATAAACACCAGATATACCACATTCTAAAAGAAGAACATTATCTTGTATTTTTATGAATTCTAAAAACGGTAGCAAATACCTCAGTTGGGGAAAACTGTTGATTCTTCAAGACTATTTATATGAATAAGATGTTTAAAGGTATTTTGGGAAATAGCAGGGAAAAGTTATTACTATTCCAAAGTGCAGAAATCTGAAAATCAAGTGGCATTTTGTCACAACACAGATTGTCATTCCTTAGATATACAAACAGATGTGCATGACATTTTTCTGTTCAAAGTAGCAATGCAGTCAAGGATATTTTGTGTTCTTCTGAATCATTATTTGCTTTTATTTATCCTCATAATCTTTTAGAGTTATTACAGTAAAAATTTTCTTCACATTTACCTGTTTCTACTAAATAATTAGTGTTGGGTGGAGGATTCTAACTTCCACATAAAGAGATCAGGGAAATTGAAAGTATTTTCTTCTAAATGTTTCCTGCAAGAAATAGCTTATCCATTATGAAGGAGATGAGAAACAGTATTTTTACAACAAAGACATGTAGAGAAATTGGAAGTGAACAAAATGGTACTTCTGCTTATGAAATTCTAGTAGAATATATAGTTGTATATTTTTTAGGAAGGCAGCAAAATATGTATGGTCAGCACTTTGATTTCTTTAGCTTTAATATCTTTGCAGCCCAACTTTCCTGATGCTGTGATATGAGATTTATTATCAGGTAGAGACAATGACTGACTGTTGACATTATTAAGTAGAAATCTATAAAATTAATAATGAAAAATATGAACATGACAAATTGCCATTACTTATTGTGTAGGAATGAATTCACACTATTTGAAGAAGATTCATTAAAAGACGCACCTCAGTACTGGGAATGGTGGCACATGTATTTAATCTCAGGACTGGGGAAACTGAGGCAAGAGTACCACTGTGAGGTTTAGAGTAGCCTGGGATACATAGAGAATCCTTTTTTTCAGAAAGAAAGGAAGGAAGATAGAAGGAGAAAGAAAGAAGAAAATAAAACAAACAAACCTTACTAACTAATAGAAAACTATTTGAAAGAACAAATGTAGATGTTATAAATTATATTTTAAAATACATTGTAAATAAATCAGAGGGAAAAAACACATTCTTTTTTAGATTCACATATCTTGAGTCACACAGCCTGCATTTAATAGGTCTGGGATTTTCAGCAATCTTCTCTCACCCTCCTCCAGTATCTCCATTTTTCTCACCTCACTGAAGCAAAAAAATAGAGAAGTAAGGCAAGGCTGGTTCAAATCCAATGGCCCTCACTATAAGATGAGGAAGTCAGGTCCAGTGAAGAAGGTGGAAAGCAGAGTGAAAGTAAATATGAGGCAAACATTTTTGATTAAAAAAGTGATGGACACTGGACACATTATCACATGTGGTACAAGGCAGAAGGAATTTTGCCTAATTTCGAAAGGTGGGGCCTGAGATACTATACTGTGATTATATCTTCCCTGATAACTAATTTAGATAAAAAAGCAAAACCACTTAATTCATACAAAAGAATGCTTGAAATTAGCACTAGTATTTCACATGAAGAAGTCTACTAGGTTGATGAATCATAAAATTAACTGGCTAAACACACTTATGAATGATTTCCAGTTGCATTGCCCAATGAACCATCTTTGAACTGCAAAATGAGTAGACCTGGAGCAAATTCAACCCTACATTCTGCAATCTAAATAACTACTTTGAAGATAACAATATGAAATATAAAAACCATTCTTAATTATCAATCATCTTTTTGAAAGTTTTTGTAATTTATACTTTTGTTTTGCTGTATAATAAAAGAAAATTCTGCTCACCCAACTCTTTATGTATCTCTTGAACATAAAACGACTTCCTTCATGGGTTGTGTGGTAGGATCCAATGCACCTGAGAAGAACTGGCATAGTGGCATAGTTTTATGGGCAATTTATCACTAGCTCATTTCCCAACAGGCCTCTAAATTTAGTGCCAGCAGAAAGGTAGCAAGAACCCATTTGGGAGGAGAGAATGAAGCAGTCACCTGTGGAGCATTTCACTTGTCCTTCAATTATTTTATTTTCTGTGGGACTATAGTCACCTGAGTGAGTTGTGCTCTAAACTTTTCTTGTGACTTTTCTTGTAACATAAAAGTTCAGAAGAGACTGGATCACATAGTAATAACCCTTTCTCTCATACGTCCCTGTTCCAATTAGTCCAAATGCAATGCAACAGTATGATATGGCTTGAGATGGAGACTTCTGGAAGTGCCTTTCAGCTCTCAGGTGTTCTCAAATCATCTTGCAAAAAAGTGTTCTGGGATATTTTCTTCCTAGTGTATTCCCAAGTAAAGCTGTTGGCATCCAGAAAATACTGGTAACATACCTTGTGATTTCCAAGTTTTCAGATTCAGAATCCAAATGATTTGGTAAAACTAATTGTGAATTTAACAAGAAATAACTAGAAAATTGGTGATATAGCTGATAGATGAATGTTCGGATAATTAATCATGAA